AAAAAAAAAAAAAAAAAAGGAAAGACAAAAACATTGCTTTACAAAGCACTTAATAAAAACATTTGATATTATGCTTTAGCATTGCAATGTTTACTGATAATCTGCCAAATTTCATTGACATGTGCTTAATAATTAGAAGTTATTGCATGAAATCTATAACAAGCACAAAATGGTTATGAGGTCATGCTGAAAAAGTTAAATATCTGCCTTAAATACTTTCACTGGAGAAATTAAAAATCTGCCATTTTTTGAAATTTTAATTACATTTTCATCAAAAACATCCTCACTTCAAGTGTTTACCGTAAACCAAACTATACCAATAAATACTTAAACATCCCAAATCACATAAAACATTTTTGTCAATCAACTGCTAGTAAACAGGGTTAATAACCATGGGTTAACACACTGAACATGATAAAAATCTCGAGTTAAACATGTTACCCAAGTTCTAAAAAAAATGGTTACAACATCCACTTTCAGAAATGTGCCCAAAATCCAAAAAGTAAAAAATTTCTCAAAAACAACATTTGACTAGAGCACAGATAACCCTAAGGTATGTCCATGGAAGTTCTGAAAAGTTGATTAGAAAGCTCAGTTTATTTGAGATGCAAGTCACATATACATCCTGTTAATCATTACCAATGAATTTGTCCATCCCAAAGACAGAAGGTTAACTCTGGTGTAGTATACGAAATTAAATATGATGACTGTGACTTCTTGCATAGAAAGCAAACATCAATTAATAATATGCATTAATGAACACAAAAAATTGATTAAAAAAGGGAACATTTTGGATTCTGCAGTTGTTAATCATATGTTCTTAACTGACAATAAGAATAATTGGAACGTGTTTGAAATTATTAAAATCCTACTAACTTTATCTAATGAAGATGTTTTGAAGGTTGGAAACTTAATGAATCATGATAATAGCTGGCAGCCTCTCCCATGCATTATAAACTATTATTACTCCCATAAAAACATATCCAGTGTGCTGGCTGCTGTCACATTCTTTTGTGTTTACATGGCTAAAAGGTGCTGACAATTGTTTATAACAGAACCATGATAACTATGATGACTGATGGTTACTGAAGCATTGGGAAGTTATTGCGTTAATCTCTTTTTCTGGTGTATTTACCTTTATTTTTATTAGTTATTAAAATATTCAATGTCTTTGTTCACTTTAGCTAAGAAAAACAAACAAGCTCCTGTATAACCTAAAACATTTATGTAAGAGCTAAATTCACTTGTGAAACACCAATTATGTATCACATATTTTAGTTATTTCATAATCACTACAACAAAATTATATTATATTTTAGTCTCAGACTTCTTTCTACATGTTGTTGTGGTTATATTTTTGACATATTGATTATTGTTTAAAAAGGTCCTCACATGTACAATAAAACTTTTTCCAAATAATTCTTACTGTACCTCCTGAACATGTGCATGTCTTCTAGAAAAGATGTAGCGAATGAAGATATCTTGAACAGGTTCCTGGCGAACTAAAAAGTTCCAAAGTCTTTTGGCAGGAAGAGCAGCTGAACTCTGTGACCTGAAAGACAAAATTCATACAATGAATTAATTTCAATTCAATCATTTAGGTTTGTTTTTGTAAGAACTACAGTAATATTATTCTTAAATTATAATACATTACTTACAGTATACAAAATGTAGTGTTCTACAACACTGAAATTTTAACAAGATAACCAAAGCTTCTAACCTGAAAGGTGTGTTCTGAAGCTCAAGCAGAGCCTTATATTTCTGAATAGCTGGACCACCCTGGTTACTTTCAACAAAACACTCTGGTAAGTAATGAGGAGGTGGACTACCAAAAGATTCCATGTGCATCTTGACTTGATGCAGCCACAGTTCCAAAGTTCTCAATACAGAATGAATCATAGGACTAGAGACAGGGAGTTCTGAATAACAGAAATAAAGAAGATCAAAATAAATGTTGGAAAGTTTTGAGAATTAAAGAAAAACATGTAGTAAAGTTCATAGAAAAAAAATAAATAAACGAATTTTTGCCCACATTCTCTTATGATACAATCAAAGAAATGTAAGGCAAAGAGAAGACATGTTTTTGCTTTTCCTGTCTAAGTTTCCACTACACAGTTGATGTCCAAGTTCATTTCTGGGAATAAAATAAATTTCATGGCCTGCAAAAGTTTTCTTTGATCTCAGATAATTGTAGATAGAAGAAGCAGAAGTCTCAAAAATCAGAGGCTGATTATCTATATATCATACTTTAAAGCAACACTTGAGCAGCCAACCCTGTGTTCAAAAACAACAGAAGCTAATCAAACAATTATGTCTCACAAGTTGTTATAATTGATTTCTGTATACAAACAAAAAAAACTGCATTTTAATAAAAGATAAATACTAAACAAGCTAAATGCCGTTTATACTTTACTGAAGGAATTAGAAAGTACTAAAATAAATGTTCATTAATTTATGTATTAAGACATATGGTTGTACCTAAAAATAAAAACTAAGTAAAATACAATTTTAACTGCAATGTTCCATAAAAACAAGTTATTGGCATTCAACTTTTTGAACCTAAATGTTTTCTTTATTATCTATTGGCATGATAGCTCAATGTCCTCTTCTCTGATCATGTTTTCATTAATTATGAAAACCACATATTCTAAATTAATACAACTTTAGGGTCAAGGCAAATATATGTATGATTTTTAAAGAAAAACCTGGAGATAACTGACAGATTATTATTTTAGTGTGTGGATTTTTTATTCCTAAATAAAAATAAAACAAACATACACCAAACAAAATTCAGTGGCTACAAATAATAATGATATATTTTTATAGTCACATTCTTTGTAAATTTTTTTTCTTATACATTAATAGAATGCAAGACTCGTACTTTCCAGAAATGAAGCACAAAATAATTTAATTTTCTGAGTACCACAGGCTAATACTGTGCTACATATAAATTAAATGCACTTTTGTATATAGAAAGAGGCTGAATAGATTAACTTAATAAAATATCATTTATGTAATATTTATATATATTTTTATTCATAATCAGTAATTCTATGTCAAACAATGACCTAATCTCTGAAAACATGAACATTTTGTAACTGTTATCATCATGTAAAAATAAAGTTTTAAACAATGTAATATCGTGACAAAGGCAACAGCATTTTAATAGTTTATACCAGAGTATGTACCTCCTGTTTACACAAGTAAAATGCTCAAAAAACATATGGTTATTGTTTATTGTAGCAAGCACTTCTGTTAAAAATTCAATGACATTTTACAATTACAATGCAGAGGTAAAAAACAAAGTAGTTCCATCTTTTAAACCTCCAGAAGAAAAATTGAATTGTTGTTCAATAACAAAACACAAGATGTATAATAACATAGATTCTAATAAAATATTTCCAAAAACAGTAAAACCTGAAAAACATTTGATGTGCCTATGAAACAATAAATAATTAAATTCAGACACTTATTTTAATTTTGTATTGTAACCACAATGCTGGGAAACAAAAGCAACTTATACCTTAACTGATATTGTATGTGTGTGAAACTTAAATTAACTTTCTGCTGTTTGGAAAAGTTTGCATTTGTTACCACAAACTCCTCAGGTTAGTACGGTTCATACAACAAAGTTAATACAATATAAATATTAATTATTATCTATAAATAATGTATAAAACACTGAATTTCAAAAGGTGTAACAACAAAACAAATACTTATTGAGCATGACTAACCTGGTAAATCAATACCAGCAACACCAAGAAAGGTGAGCATGTGACAATGTACCAATTTTAGGATAGCATAGCGCATAATTTCCCAGGAATAGGAGGAGGGATCGAGCTGATCCAGCTTTGATGTCTTAGTAGACTTTTTTGCATGATTTATGGCACCAGTTGTGTTTTCAGTAAAGTCACCAAACACATCACCTCCATCAACTTCATCTTCTTCTTCATCATCATCATCATCATCACTAGGGAGTGATTCACTTGAGTCATAATCTACAGGTTGATATTCTTCTGGTAATTCAGGCTAAAGGAAAACACAAAACATTATATATTCTTGAATTTATATTGCTATATTTTCATCATAATATTTAACTCTATTTTCACACAATGTTTATCACTGATAATAACACCACATCTGAAAAACATTTTTTTTATTATTGTACTTTGTGTATTAAAATTTTTGGTAGTCATCAAGTTAAAATGTTAAGACTAGAATTTCTCTAGAAATAAAAACAGCACTAAAAATTGTAAAGAATTTTCAATCAAATTTCAAGAAAAAATCTGTCAGAAAACATTATGAACACTTCAAGAATGTATCATAGTCAAATGAATCCTAATGAAATACGAGTCAGTAAATATCTGGTGACTTTGGCTATTGTTATAACAATATAGATATCATATAGTACATATGAAGATTAAGACTTTAGAATACAGATATATATAGACAGATCTGGTTTGGTTTGTTAGGAAGTTTGTGCAAAGCTACACAAGGGCTATCTGTGCTAGCCATCTCTAATTTAGCATTGAAAGACTAGAGGGAAGGCAGCTAGTCATCGCCACCCACTGCCAACTCTTGAGCTACTCTTTTACCAATAAATAGTGTGATTGACTGTCTCATTATAACATCCCCATGGCTGAAAGGGCATGCATGTTTGGTGGAATGGGGATTTGAACCCGCGACCCTCAGATTGGGAGTCGAGTGCCCTAATCACCTGGCCATGCTGGGCCATATAAGTAGAAGCCAGGATCTTGGAAACATACTCTGCAACCATCATCAGCTTCCTGACTGTAAATATGAAAAACAGTGAGAAAAACATCCATATTAGAAAACTAGAAATAAAGAATGTGCTCACAAAACAGTCAGTGAGAATTGCATGCTTCTGGGTTACAGTTTAGACAAGATCTCTTGTTCATCACAGCACAGTAAGTTCAGTTGAACAAGTTAGCTCATGGTACCATTCTCAAAATGTCTCCAAATGAAAACTGACTTAAAAGTAGAAATCACTCTCAAAGTTCATCAAAATTACATCTACAAATGCTGAAAAGTTGTTTCCAGAAGTTAAACCAATTGTAAAAGCGATGGCAACTTTCACAAGTGTGACAATCAATAATACAGTGTAACATAACTCTAAACAATCTTCAAAACTGAAACAAAAAATTATGCTGCACCATAGGAGCAGGATGTTTCAACTCATTTTATTGCTGAATTGGGAAAAAATTCAAGAAGGTGTTTAGCAGAAGTTTTGATGACAAAAAAACGGAAGAGCATTTGGAAAAAACAAGGCTAGCACAATTACTTCTGGTGTACTAGGTATTGCTTTTTTCTCGACAACAATTAACCTCATGTGAAAAAAAAAACAAAACTCATCTATAGTCATATATTATCAAAGAAATTGCTATTCGATGATACTACTGGTTTATGGTAGCTGTCAAATATAGAAAATATTGGCACATTTTGCATTCTATGTAGAAGTACCTCAAAGTAGAAAAAAAATATAATCATGGGATACCAATCATCTAGAAAGAGTTGAAGGAGGCGATTAAAAACCATATAACAGGTTTCAGTCTTTAAAAATGAGATTGAAGTTAATTTGAGTGCAAGTGCTTAAGGGAAGTGCTGTAAGGATTTTTCCATGATGCTACTTGAGGCTTCCTTTTTTCATTATTCTTAGATAAGGCAAGGAAAAAAAAATGGGAAAAGAAGAGGAGTGGATGGGTGGGAAATGGTGCAGAGGTGATTTTCTATTGTAAATACATTTTCAGGTAAATAAAATGTTAGATTTGGAAACGATACCTCAACCTCCTCACATAGAATAGCTAGAATCTCACAATGTAATGGTAGAGAGTCTCATGTAAACATTAAACATAGATAAGCTTCCTTCAGAAAGAACTCAAAGGGAAAGCCCCTGGAGTGTAACACTCAATGGCAAGAACTCCATAGTGGAACATGCATGGGAGACCACATGATCAGTGAAATACAATAAAGTGAGATAGGTGATGAATCTGACGTGATTAAATGTGAAAGAGCCTGCAAGCATCAATATCCAGGGAAGAAAACACCAAAGGGAAGAATTGGTAGACCCATCCTATAAGGGTAGAAGGCAAGAGGTCCTGGTTCTTGGACAAAGAAGGAATCAAAAGTAAACACAAACGATGATGGGAACTTCAAAAGGGAGATGTAAGTGTCAAGTGCACTGAACAGCTTAAACTGAACACAGCAGGCAATCCAGGTCCAAATGAGTATAGAGGTGAAGGAACAAAGGTACAGAGATAGGAAAGAAAGAAATAATGGTCATTTTCCTGACCAGCCAAGTCTGAGGAAAAAGGCCCAGTTGGGGTGTCAAAGTATGACAAAAGAGAATACAGGAAGCATAGATGGTATATACATCCAAACAATGACAACAACAGGTGAGGAGAGAGAAATGTGTCTTCAGAAAAAGATGGTATAAAAAATATGAATCCAATGGCATGTAACAGCATGTAAAACCACATCAAAATCCTAGTCAGGCATGGGACTAGGAAGAGACAGATGGTAAAGAAGGTAGGATCTGGACAAAATACATAGGACAGGGGAAGAAAAAAACCTGACAGTAACAGGAAAGGCAAGCTGTAGTTGATGAAGGTGTCCGATAACCAGCAATGGTAGAAACTGACAATCTATGACTGATAAACCATGTGAAAAAGGCTGAAATGTGAGCCACAGTAGGATGGCTTAAAGGAAGGGAGTGGCAGATAGATCAATATCAAAAAACCCACTATTAAAAAGCCTACATGGTTAAAGGAGCCAGACCTGCAGGTAATGAACCAGACAAATTCCATACTTTAAGATGAAGGGACAACACTTTTGGGTGAAAAAAAGGCATGTGTGATTGGAGCAAAAGAGAGTGGGATTGGGGCAAAGGAAGAAGGAAACTGAACATCAAATGATGAAGCAGAAGAAAATAGGGTTGTGCTGGCTAAAGAGGTGCCACCAACAGGAGTGTCATGTATCAAAGTGAACATATGAGAAGACGAAGAGGAGAGTAAGCATAAAGAAAAGGTGAGACCAATCCTATCTAAGAGCGCTTACCACCAAGATCGAAGGATGAGGAACTGATGATCAGAAGAGGGGAAGTTGATGATTAGAAAGGTAGGAAAAGGTATAAATTTGCGCTAGCCATCCTTAATTAACTGTGTAAGACTAGAGGGAAGGCAGCTAGTCATCACCACCACT